CCCGCCAGGAGCCGCGCGGGCCTGCAGGTGCGGCTAGCCGGGCTGGCGCGCGAGTACGGCAGCGTCTTCAGCCTCTTCGTGGGCCCCCAGCGCGTCGTGGTGCTCAGCGACTTCCGCAGCGTGCGCGAGGCGCTGGTGCAGCAGGCCGAGGTCTTCAGCGACCGCCCGCGGGTGCCGCTCATCTCCATCGTCACCCAGGAGAAGGGTGAGCCGGGCTCGGGGTGGCAGCCCTCCCGCCACACCGCCACGCACCTGTGCGCTTGCGTGCACCAGCACCACACCTGCGTTTTCACCTCGCAGGTGGGCCTCCTCTTCCCCTTAGGAACCGGCCCCACAGCGGGACCCGACCGAGATCCGAGCAGGAAAGGCGTGGGGAAACAGGGCGAGAAGCAGGATGAGGCGAGTACAGGAGGTGGAATCGGGCTCTGTCCTGGGGTGACCCTCCCTCCTGAGGAGGCCTCATCTTCCGTCTCTGACCCGGTTCCTAGACTCTGCCGGGGTAGAAAGAGGAGGGATATGCTTTCCATTGTGCGATACTGAGTTCCAGATCTGAGATGTTTTCCTTTCCCAGAGGGCTGAAGGCCTGAGAGCAGAGCGTGGGGCCCTGATAGACACCCTGCGCCTCTGCAGCTGCGAGCCTCCCGAGGCTCTGCCTCCTCTGCACCCTTCAGCAGCTCCCTGCTGGGCACTGGCCTCAGGCCCCATCCACCACTGCGTCCGCTCTGCCTACTAGTCGCCCCGGGCATTGCTGTCACTGCCTGGCCAAGTGGGTCAGGTCGCCCTACCGGGGCCTCTCTCGCCGCATGCCCTGCTGTCTGACTTGTAGACACCACGTGGCTTTGTAACTCTGGACCCGGATGTGGCTCTTTAACTGTGCCACACTGGGCAAGACCCAGCAGCTGCTTCCTAGAGCCTGGAGCTTGACATGTGCTGCTTAAGTAGATGACCTGCTGTTTCGTGTCCTGAGCTGGAAGGTCTGGACTTCTTGGAATCCCAGCCAAAGGTTTGCATCCAAGCTCTAAAGGAGTGGTGGTGCCGGTCATAGCCCTTTCCTGCCTTGTTGCAGAACAAGTATCGCAGTCCACACCTAACCCTCTCCTCACCTTCCTTCCGCTGTTTCTGCTTGGAATTCTATGATCTCGGGGCTTTAGGGAGAAGTCCTGCCTGCCCTCGTTTCTATTGATTGATTGACTGAGACAGGGTCTCACTGTGGAGGTCAAGCTGGCCTCGAACTCGGGTATGTAGCCCAGGCTGGCCTCTAACTCACTTTGATCCTTCTGTCTCAGCCTCCCAAGTGCTGGTATTACAGGCTGTTTCCCCTTAAATGGTGGTGAAACACACACGAGACGTAAAGTGCACAGTTCACCTCACACGTTCGCGGGCACACATGCACACACACACACACCCTCCTGTACAGTTCTTAAGGGTTGTGCACTCCTCAGAGAGGATATACTCACCTCTCAGGTCAGTCTGTGGGCAGGGCACCGGACTCAGGAATTCATAACTGGCTGCGTGTGGTTTGGACGAGGATTTATACTCCTGGTGTATCTGGACCCTCCAGCCAGGCCTCGTCCATCCAGTGTCCACACTGGTAGCACCATGGGATGCTTGACTGACGCCTTTGGCCTTCTCTCAGATTTTCCCGGTGTCTGAGGAAGTGTGAGGGGGAGGAGGTGTCTCAGGGTGGCTTGGCTCCATCAGAAGCAGGTTTGCAGTGGTGACCAAGGCAGAGGGAGAAGGGTATAGAGACTTGGCACTTGGCCTCCTGGTGCAGCCTCTCAGCCGGACACCTGTGCTGCTGCTGTTCCTGCCTGTGCCCAAGGGGAGAAAAGCCAGGAAAAGGAGAGAGAGTTATTTACAAGTGGGCAGAAAAGATCTGAGATGTCCCTGGAGGCCTTGAGTGCCCTTGGTGCCCACCCTGGGGGTGGCTCCTTCTCAGTGGAGGATGCTTGGAGGAACAGTTTGTCTATTTAAAAAAAACAACAACAACCAAAAAAAAAACCACCTTATTTTTTAAAGGTGCACTTCCTGTCTTAGTTGTTCCTCCCTTGGTTTTAGTCCAGAACCTTGAAGCTATATTTTTTTCCTGTACTGAGGATTGAATCCTGGACCTTCGCACTGAACTATATCCCCAACTCTTTTATTAAGGAAAAAAGAAGGTTTTTTGTTAATGTGGTTTTTGAGACAGGATCTCACTATATACTTGAGGCTGGCCCTGAATTTGCAGTGATCCTCCTGCCTCAGCCTCTTGAGAGCTGGGTTTACAAGGGTTTGCTACCGTATCTGGCTTAAACATTAAAAAAATTCTTTTTTTGTTTTTTTTTTTCACTACCGGGAATCAAACTGTTTTCTTAATGAGTGCTCCATTATCTTTAAATTCATTTGGTGCCATGTAAACCATTTACAAACACAAGTACACATGCAGACACAACATACAGTAACATATGAACACAGACCCACAAAGACTTCTCACTTACCAGTTTTTAGAAAGCTATACTGTTGACCTGATTTCCTTACTCCTCATTTTTAATCCTAAAATTCTGTGTCTTAAGGCGTAATTCTTCCTTGAAGCGAGGTAAGCAGTTTACCTGTGAAACCCACAGACCCCTTCTAGGCTTTCCCATTTTAACTTGGAGCTTCCTGAAGTTCCCTACCTGCCTTTGCTTATGGATTTTAGTCAGTTTTAAGCAGATGTTGAGCAGGGTTTTAATGCATTTCCTAGATAATGCAACGCAGACCCAGTGGTGAGACACACATTTTCTCCTGGCTGTGCCCAAGGCCTTCAGTGTGTGAAGAGCAACCTGCCAGGGACCTCAGGTGCTGCCAGGATAGGAAGGAAGAGGCTTCAATCCGGTTTTCTACTTGATAGGCAGAGGAGATGATGGAGGAGTGGTAGGAGAAAGCAAGGGAGAAAAGCCATTGCTAGCACGTGCTAGTTGAGAAATGTGTGAAGCAATTGAGAGGACGTCCACACCACAGCCTGTTCAGAATAACCCGGGATTATGGACAAAGTCTCATCGGGGCGCACGGAAGGCCCTTGCTGGTACCTGGCATTGCCCAGGTGAAAGCGGTGGGCTCCCCGGTAGCAAAGCAAACCAGGTACAGCTCAAACTATGTACAGAACCAGGCAAAAATGAGTGAATTCACTAGTTTAAAACAAAAAAAGATGAGTTCAAAAGAGCCAAAATAAAGTAGCTGTGGATATCATCCTCACCAAAGTTACTCCAAAGAAATGCCCCCTTTTTCTGGAGATTGTACCCAGGAGCTTGTGCTGAGCTATATCCCCTCATCCTCTCATATTTTGAGGGGGATGGGTACAGGGTCTTGCTAAGTTGCCCAGGCTGGGCTCAAACATGGGATCCTACTGTCTCAGCCTTCCAGAGTGCTGGGATTACAGATGCGTATTTCCACGCCTGGCTCCAAAGAATTTTGAAGACAGTTGCACTAAGTCAGAGTGCACTTTAGTTATGTAGTCCATGCTGTAGCACAACACAGACATCTTTGTCCGAGACACAGGTAACCGGAATTTCTCAGGAGCTCCCGGGTGGCACTCTGCTCCCGAGCAAATCACATAAGAGATGCCCAGACTCAGCCAGTGTCTCCAGTCTCCTGGTGCCTCTTCCAGACAACTGGCCACAGGCAAACCCCATATCTAGAAGACTGATACATGCAAGTAGCCTTTTCTTTAAAACTTCTGTTTATCAAATACTACTAAAAAAGTGAGAAAAAAATCACACGATGGGAAAACTGCACAATAGGTAAGTGTAAATCCCAGAACAGGAAATCTGATCAATGGCAAAATTTTATCAATGATACAAATGTTGAAAGTATCAACTGAGGACTGCTTTTGGAATAATGAGAATGTTCCAGAACTGCTGATAAGTACATAGCATGGTGTTCTCTCATTTCAGAGAATAATTTGGCCAGGTTTGGTCATGTTGAAAATGCATGCATGTTATGACACATCCACTGGCTCTTTCCAGTGTCTTCACATTGAGGAATCCAACAGTAGAGTACATTTCCAGATGTGCAGAATCTTTAGAAATTTTTCTCTCATACAACCTTTTCTGGAAACTACTAGAGGATGTGCTTCAGCAGAAATGAGAGTGAAACAAGAAGGAGGAAGACAGAAATCCGGAAATGGGTCCCACCACAGAAGTCTAATGAAATTCCTAAATGATAGGTCACACTGCAGATTTGGGTAGATACTTAGACAGTTTGATAACACGTCTGGGGGTGATTTTGCTGGGTTTGATGGTGGAGATGAACACGTGAAAATCAAGTAAGATAGAGTTGTGGCTGGCTATCATGAATTCAGATGTATTTTGGTTTTTGTGGTGCTGGGGACTGAACTTAGGACCTTCGCACTGAGTTACATTCCTAGGCTTTAAGGTTTTTTTTTTTGTTTGTTTGTTTGTTTTTTTCAGTCCAGCTCTTCCAAAGTTGCTAAGTTGCTCAGGTAGTGCTCAAACTTGGATCCTCCTGCCTCAGCCTCCCAGAGCTCTGGGAATACAGGTGTGCCCCACCATGCCTGGTTGAGTTCAGATGCTTTTAAATTGCAGATGTTACCAACAACCAACAATATGTTACTTGCCAGTTACAAGATTCCAGACTGGGAGTGGTGTGTCTGACCTAGTTGGGATGTTTGTTTATCCATCTAAGTTACCGATCACCTCTGCATACATAGCACTGTGCCGACAGTGGGGATTCTGAAGTCATGGGTCCCATCCTGCCAATCTGTTACTGTCCTCATCCTTGTGCTCATAATGTTCTGAATGTGGGTGTATCTGGCCGGAAATGTTTTCTAAGCCTAGTGTCCCCCTGTGAAGTAGAAGGCTGTTCTAGTGTGTGCTTAGGTTGCATACTGAACCCCACTACTTCCTATTTTACCAGCAGATGCATCAGCCGTAATAGCTGTCCAGTAATCCTCCCAATTTAACTGGACCTGATGGCATGCTTAGTAATTGGAATTATGTCAGTGGACTTGTTAGTATCTTGTCTGCTGACATGGGCTGGGCTGGTGGTCACTGCATCAGCTTGGTGTGAGGGACTTGAAAGGTACATGGTGTGCTTCCTGTTCAGTATCACAGTGTGCTCTCACCTGTATTTTTAACTTTATTTTGTTTTTGCTTTTGAGACAAGGTATCGCTGTGTAGTCCAGGCTCTTGTTGAACTAATTATGTAATTCAGGCTAGTCTTGAATTCCCAGTTGTCCTCCTGACTCAGCCGCCCAGATCTGAGATTACAGGCAAGTGCTACCATGCCTGGCTCACCTTCTTTCTTGGTGTCCTTCTGCAGGGGTTGTGTTCGCACCCTACGGCCCTGTCTGGCGACAGCAGAGAAAGTTCTCACATGCCACTCTGCGTCACTTTGGCTTGGGCAAGCTGAGCTTGGAGCCCAAGATCATCGAGGAGTTCAAGTGCGTGAAGCAGGAGATGCAAAGGCACGGGGACTCTCCCTTCAGCCTGGTCCCTGTCGTCAGCAATGCCGTCTCCAACATCATCTGTTCCCTGTGCTTTGGCCAGCGCTTCGATTACACCAACAGGGAGTTTAAGAAGCTACTGGATTTGATGTCACGAGGCTTGGAAATCTGTCTCAACAGCCAGCTCCTGCTGGTCAACATGTGCCCCTGGTTCTACTACCTCCCCTTTGGGCCGTTTAAGGAATTAAGGCGGATCCAAAACGACATCACCGTTTTCCTTAAACAGATCATCCGTGACCATCAGGACTCTCTGGACGCCCAGAGCCCGCAGGACTTCATCGACATGTACCTTCTGCACGTGGAGGAGGAACGCCAGCGCAACAGCAGCAGCAGCTTCAGTGAGGACTACCTGTTCTACATCATCGGGGACCTCTTTGTCGCTGGGACGGACACCACAACTAACTCCTTGCTCTGGTGCCTGCTGTACATGTGCCTATACCCTGACGTCCAAGGTAACTAGCAGATGAGTTCCCCGGTCAAGGCACAGCCAGGTTATTTAGAGGAGGATTAGCAACTTCAGTGATCTCGTAGTGCCAAGCACTAAGCATGTCTTCAGCTGCAAAAGCAAATATATATTTGCATCTCGTGGGAAGCTGGGAAGGTGCTTCCAGTGAAACCTGTTTTTCCTAGAGAGGTAGACTCATGTCCTGACTTGATCACCTTGCTTTGATTTCTGCACATCTGATTCTGTGGGAAAGACTGGTAGAGAAGTAGGACACCTGCCAGGTGTGGTGGCGCACACCTGTAATCCCAGCACTCAGGAGGCTGAGGCAGCAGGATCACCATCTGTTCAAGGCCAACCTGGGCTACATAGTGAGACCCTGTCTCAAAAACAAAAAACAAACAGAAACAAAGCAAAAAAGAAGTAGGATACCTTAGAGCCGAACCCTGATGCTTTACCATCTTGTTTGGAAAACGGAAAAGAGAAGCACAGCTTGTTCTAACACGGCAGGATCAATAGGCACAGGTGGCAGCAAGGCAGCTAGAAGGAAGGCTGTGGGGCGTAATCACTCCCATTGCTGCCACAGACTTAGCGGATTCACACAGCACAGACCTGTCATCTGACAGCTGCTGTGTCAGAGGTCTGACCCGTGTCTCACGGGGCTGGCAGGACTGTGCTGCTTCTCCGGAGCCCCAGGAGACCCATTTCCTTACCATCCGCAGGGCCTTGGCCTGCAGCCCCTTCCAACCCTCTCAGGCTCTGAGCTCACCAGGGTATGGCCAGTGTTCCTGAGCGCGGTGACAAACTCCGAGAAGCGTGGCGTTAGGTGACTTTGTCCCTGTGCCAGCCTCAGAGGGTAAAGTAGGGTGGCTGCGGTGTCTCCAGACTACCAAATCTCATGAAGCCGTTGTCATGGGTGGGCCGTTTCTGGCTGGAACGTCCCTGTGTGACACATGACTGTACTTAGGTTGGGCACAGTTGGTCTCTTGTCGTGCCGTGGTTGGGACGTGTTTGGGAGGCTCTATCCTCAGTGCGGTGGAGATGGCCATGTAGACACCATCATGGGGGCTCCCTCAGGGACAGTGGAGTTCTCCTGGCACCCCACTTAATCCCCACAGCAGTGCTGCTATGGCCTTAGCTCTAAAGTGTCCCTTAAAGGCTCGGGTGTTGACAGCGTGGTCCCCAGCTGAGGTACGGTAGTGGAACCTTTGGAGGCGGGCCTGGTAGAAGGAAGATAGGTCACTGAGTGTGTGTCCCTTACCGGGAATAGTGGGACCCTGGCCCTTTCTCCCACTGAAGCCCAAGCCAGGCCTGGTCCTGCTTAGCTTCTGAGGTCAGACAAGGTGAAACACTTTCAGAGTGGTGTGGCTGTGGGTGGGCTCCTCTCAGTGTCTCAGGTGAGTAGCTTTGCTCTGCTGTCCCCCTGCCTTGTTCTTCCTGCCATGGACCGAGAGTGATGGCCAGGAGACTGTGGACTGCAGCTGGGAACAGAACAAACCTTTCCTCCTCTGGAGTCCATCTCCTCGGGTGTTCTGACGCGGCGGTTACTGTGTGAGGAGCGAGCTTGGCTCCCAGCCCCACTGGCTCCCTGTCACACCTCACCTCTCACATGCTCCTGCCACAGTGCTGCCGCCGTGTTGTACGCATCCCAGGGGCTCTCACCAGAAGCTGCGCACATGGGGCTGTGTAAGCTTGACTTTCACCTCTGCATTGTGAGCTAAAGAAACCCCTTTTCCCTGTTCCACACCATGCAAAGGTGTCAAACTTACAAGGTGAGAAGGTGTGCACGTCCCGGAGACACCATCACTGTCCATGGAGGGCGCTGTCCCGTCTGTTAATGATTGCCAAGTAGCGATTACCTGCAACATTTAACAGTTCAAGACACCACTGTTTGTTACTTAATATGGTTTGTGAGGGCCAGGAATCCAGGAGTGGCTTGACCTGGATGATTCTGATTTGGGGTTTCTTGTGAGATTAGAGTCACGATGTCAACTGGACTGTAGTCATCTGCAGGCTTGACTGAGACTGAAGGACCCACTTTCAAGGTAGCTCCCATGTGCTATTGGTCACTGCCCACTCTTCCTTCCACCTGACCTTCGCATGGGCTGCTTGACTTAGTGGCTGCCTTCCCCTAAAGAGAGTGATTCAGGGCGTGAATGACAAAGAGGGGAGCCACTAAACTGAAGAGTGACATGGCATTACTGCGTCCTTCATCTAGGTACAAAGGGAGAGGGGAATGCAGAGGACATAAACCCTGTACTGGTCAGCATGCCACTACTGTAACAGAATGCCTGGGGTGACCCACTTATCCAGAGGGATGCTCCACTGTGGCTCGGTTTTGCCTGTGCAAGGCAGCACATTGTCTCTGGCCATGTGGTAGGGCAAAGCTCCACCTGTACCCAGGGTGCAAAAGAGAGAGAAAGAAAAGGGTGCACTGCCACAGACCTAACCTCCCACTAGGCCCCCCCTTGTTTCTGCCACTTTGAATAAGACACTTGGAACAAGCCTTTAGCACACACACCCGGGCCCCAGGGACTTCCCAGACCCGGGGTCACGGGCCCGTCTTGGAACGCTGCCTGTTGTCCCCATCCACCTCGAGCATCAGCCCTTTGCTCACATGTGAGTGGTTCAGAGTGCTCTGCCTCCAGCACTCCCTCTTCTGCCCCTCTGTCCTGTCTGCTGCCCTCCATCCACACCCAAGGACAGGCCTGAGAGCCTGCCACCCCTCTTGGTACATCTGGCCCACACTATGTCCTGGCACTGCCAGCCTGTCAGCATGTAAGGGGAAAATGGTAGTGGATGTGGGGCACACACGCAGTTCTCCCCAAGGAGAATCTTACCGTTTCTTCTTTCCTGTCACACAGAAAAGGTCCATGCAGAAATCAAGAGGGTCATTGGCCCCACCCGAGCCCCTTCCCTCACTGACAAGGCCCAGATGCCTTACACAGAGGCCACCATCATGGAGGTGCAGAGGCTGACAGTGGTGGTGCCCCTGGCCATTCCGCACATGACCTCGGAGAAGACAGGTGAGCCGGGGCTTGGTCCTGGGGTGCCCTCGAGGGCAGTACACGTGTGAGTGGTGGCCACTGTCACAGATACTACAATGTCCTGGAGGCTGTTTTTGCTTGTAGTTGTCCACTGTTGGGCGAATTGCTGCGCCAGGACCACTGAATTTTATTAATAACTCAGTGCAGTAATGCACATTCTGCCAAAACAAATGATGCCATAATTTTCTATTTTTTTAATTTCATCTTATTTTACTTTTGGTTTTGTGATTCAAGATGGCCTTAAACTCTCAGTGTAGCCCAAGCTGGTGTTGAACTCACAGTATTCCTGCTCATGCAGCCTAAGTGCCGAAATTACAGGCCTGCACCACATCTGATGCTAGTGCCAAAAATATAAATCAGGTGCATTACAGAAACAATTCCAGAGTTAGCAAAGGTGCTTTAGTCCACCTCATGGCAGTCAGAAGAGCTAGTCTTACTGTGGAATGAAGGAGTTTTGCTAGAAATTACCCTGCCTCAATTTTTAAATTCTGTCTCCAAGCCTGGCACTGTGGTGCACACCTGTAATCCCAGCACTCAAGAGGCTGAGGCAGGAGGATTGCTGCAAGTTTGAGACCAGCCTGGGCTATATAGTGAGTTCAAGGCCAGACCCTGCCTCAAAAAAACAAAAACAAAAAACTAGTACAACCAAAGCATAAATATTACACAATTAGGAGTATGGGTCAGATGTGCCAAGTGGGATGGCAGGCTCTGGAGCCTGTGCCACGGGTGTGGACGGAGGGCAGCAGACAGGACAGAGGGGCAGAAGAGGGAGCGCTGGAGGCAGGAGCACCCTGAACCACTCGCATGTGAGCAAGGGGCTGATGCTTGAGGCGGATGGAGACAACAGGCAGCGTTCCAAGACGGACCCGTGACCCCGGGTCTGGGGAGTCCCTGGGGCCTGGCTGTGTGTGCTAAAGGCTTGTTCCAAGTGTCCCATTCAAAGTGGCAGAAACGAGGAGGCGCCTAGTGGGAGGTTAGGTCTTTTGGGGAGCACCCTTTCCTTTCTCTGATTCTCGGGTCATCATTTCAGTGAAACCAGTACTGAGCAGGTCCTGTCCAGACTGTCTTCAAATCCCTCTCAGGAAGGCGTCATCCCCTCCAGAGATGGCCATCGTGTGATGGGCTCGAAAGGACAAGGGTCACTGAAGGCTTGGGGTGCAGATCCGATGCACCGTGGTGTGCACAGTATTTTTCAGGCATTGCTGAAAGTGTATTTCACCTGTCAGCTGATGAACGGCCAGGGCTGACTTCCATCTGTCATTTTTCTTAGTTTACCTTCCTCAGCATCTCCCTGCACAGACAACTCTAAACTGTTATTCTCCACGCAAGTGTCAGGATGGGTCATTCTTAGGGGATTATTTGAAATGCCTATTATTTCAGCTTTAGTGTTTCCCCTTATTTTCATGGTTTGCTTGACTCCCTCAGCCAACATGCATCAGAGCACCTGTGGCAGGCTGGGCCCTCGGATGGCGCTGGGGGGGACCAGGTGGGCACATGCTCAGATCGTATCCCTGCCCCGAGGACCATGAGTTAAGACACTAAGTAGGAAACTAGATTTTTTTTTCCCCAAGGCAGTGATAGTTAGGGAGAACAGCAGCAAAATGAATGATGCTGTGTTTGTCTGCCTCAGTGCTCCAAGGCTACACCATTCCGAAGGGCACGGTGATTCTGCCCAACCTGTGGGCTGTGCACAGAGACCCGGCCATCTGGGAGAACCCAGACGAGTTCCACCCGAGTCGATTTCTGGATGACCAAGGACAACTTTTAAAAACAGAAGCCTTTATTCCTTTTGGGATAGGTCAGTAAAACCTTTCTGGTTTCATTAACATAGTTTTTAAAACAGAAGCGCAACTATGGGCAGGTGTCACTCAGTGGTAGAGCGCTTGTCTGGCCTGGGCAAGGGCCTGGGTTTGATCCTTAGCTTGCACCAAAAGGAAAAAGCAAAAGCAGAACTGAAAGAATCACTTCTTATTCCAGTGTTGTAAAAAAATGTTTCTTTACTGGCTGGCTAATGGAAGCAATAAGTCATTTAGATAATACGTTTCTATTCTGTTCATCTCAGGGTTTAGAAACAGAATCAGGGCTGGAGGTAGAATTCAGTGGTAGAGTGCTTGCCTACTACGTTTAAGGCCTGGCATTCAACTGCCAGCACAGAAAGAAGATAGAGACAGACAGAGATAGCCCAAGATGGAGGCAGGAAGAAATATGACTGGATGTCATCCTTTCTGAGCTACCTGGCCTTTGGCTGGGTCCCAGGACGGGACCTGGTTGGGGAGGGGCTCAAGTAACAGCTGTCCCTCTTTAGGGTCCTAGTGTGGGACCCATGGGATACTTTCATGGAAAAGGAAGGCTCCAGAGACTCTACTCTGACTTCCCCTCCTCAGTCCACCAGGTAACAGCCAAGGAAAAAGATAAGCAGGCAAGGACCAGATAGGGTCAGTGTCCCCTGCACCTGTCTGTAGGTCCTGCCAGATGAGGACAGGTTTTCAGGAGCAGCAGTGAAAATGTAAACTTGGCGTGGAAAAGTTCTGTCCATCACAGTCTGCGGGAGCCTGTGGTTTATGTGGCAATTTTATTCTAAAACTATTTATTTAAAACACTCAATTTAGGTGAGTTAGGTAAGTGTTATAAATTTTTACCTCTGCCAGGTGTGGTGGCGCATGCCTATAATCCCAGCACTTGGGAGGCTGAGACAGGAGGAGGACAGTGCATTTCCAGCCTGGGCTACATTAGTGAGATCTAGGCCAGCCTGAACTGCATCTGAGACCCTATTTAAAAAAAAAAAAGGAATTTGAACTTTCTGAATTAGTAATGGGGTGAGAGTCCTGATCTCTTTCCCCACGCTCCAGGGAAGCGGGTGTGCATGGGCGAGCAGCTGGCCAAGATGGAGCTGTTCCTGATGTTCGTGAGCCTGCTGCAGAGCTTTGCGTTCGCGCTGCCCAAGGATGCTGAGGAGCCTCTGCTCACAGGGAGATTTGGCCTCACTTCGGCCCCTCATCCATTCAATGTTGTCGTTTCAAAGAGATAAAGAAGAGCACCCCAAGAAGAGGAGGAGGTGACACCTCAATATGTGTCCTATAAATGATTCTTCCTGCTCCTGCTGACAGCACAGCTGATGCAGGCTGGGATCAGACCAGAGAGCCACTGGGACCCAGGGAGGGAAGAGGTGTCCCAGCAGGACACCTGAGTATCTTCGCCCCAGCAAGGCTGTGCTTTCTGAGTCCCCAGGTGCCTGTGCTCCCGGCAGTGGCTTCCACCATGAGCCATCTTCTCCTGCAGCCTCTGTCCTCACACAGTACAACGACACTCAGAACTCCCTGCTGTCCTGGCCTCAGATGTGTCCTGATGTCCCCAAGAAGTTCTTCCATGCTGGAGATGACCCAGTCTCCTGCTGGCTTCTTAAGACCTCTGACACTGTGAAAGTGGATTTCAGCCTTGAACGCTCTGTCAGAGGGCGTGAGGGCCAAGGGTACAGTGGGGTAGATCTTTGTTTTTAAAGCATAGGTTCTGTGTCACTTCTTCGGGCTTGTTCTGGTATAGGTATCTTTTGTTTATGATTTTAATTATGAGTTTTTGTAGAGACAGAATGAAATGGACCCTTGTACGCTGAGTACGCTGAGTGAAAAAGAAGTCGGGATTTCCAAACTCCTGTGATGAGGTTCTTCCTTCTCCTTCATCACACCTGCAGTGAGCCTGGAGGAAGGATGTGGAATGGGTCCCAGCTCTGCCAGCACGGGACCCTTGAGCCTTCCTCTGGGGATCGGCCCGCTGCCAGCCCTGTGTATGACTCCGAATGGTCACAGACAGGTGGCATCTTGCCCTCTGGAGAGAACCTCGCTCTTCCTAAATGTGAGGCCCCTCATAGAGGACAGTTCTTGGCTGAAGCCCTCTCCGGACTGTTGGGAAAAGGGTGCTGCCACGGCCAGGCTGCTCGTGGGAAGCTGTCACTGTGCCCTGAGGAGTGCCCCCCCGCCACTGCTCCGGGGGTGCTAGCTCTCTCCTGAGACTCAGGGAGGCAATCTTGGGCAGCCGCGCTGTGAACCTTTCCTCCCCTGCACTGTGCTTAAAGCCTCAACCTGCATGTTTGTGGTTGTTTTTTTTTTTTGTGGTGCTGGGGATTGAAGCCAGGGCCTTATTCGTGCAAGGCAGGAGCTCTTCCACTAAGCCTCATCCCCAGCCATACCTTGCGTGTTTGTGACTGTCACCCTAAGATCCAGCTGCAGCAGAGCATGGAGGCTCAGGGAAGCTAAGGCACAGGTGACAAATGCCACCTCTGGGTCAGACTCTGGGCTGGACAGGAGTCTCTGCGCCCTTCTCGGGGCTGCCACCACTTGGTCCCCAGCTAGCCCTGATGGCCCCTCCTCCTGATGGGCTCCTCATGGGAAGTAGTGCTGCCTGTCACAGCACCTGCTTTCTGCAGCTACCTGCTTGATTGGAGTGACTTTCGGTGTGACTACTTAAAAGCAAGTTCCACCCCATTTCTTTTTTCTGTTTTTGGAAGACAGCCTCTTGCTATGTAGTCCAGACTGACCTTGAACTCAATGATGATCCACCTGCCTCAGCCTCCTAAGTGCCGGGATGATGGGTGTGTGCCTCCACCCTATTTGAGTATGACCTATGGGTGGTATTTTTGTTGCTTAAGGTGACTTTTGAAAATCAGTACATATTATTTGTTAATGTCAGTTTAAGCCAAATTTTTAAAAGTTGCTAGACTTCTCTTCATTTTCAAAACCATTTTAAACTTACAGTGATGCCTTAGCTATGAAGGGTTGGCCTCACAAGGTGAGCTCCCACTGGCCAGGCTGGGGCCACATTCAGGGCTTGCTCTTTTCTGAGGTGGAGGCAGCCACTGTGCTCCTTCTGCTAGAGAAGAGGGAAGAAAAGACCCAGAGAGGCTGTGACTTTGAGAATGAAATGAAAAGCAAAAGTGGGAAGCTCAACTTAGCATCTGGGTTGGAAAGCTCACCTGCAGCTGCCCCTCTTCCTAGCTGTTTCCAGATGGGGCAGACCCAGATCTCCCAACCCCTCCATCACCTCCCCCCGCCCGGCAGCTGGGTCATTCTGGGGTTCGGGTGGAGCTTTCCTTTGATGAGCACATTCCTGGGCAGACTCCTTCCTGCTCAAGGAGTGGAAATAACATATGTTTAACAGAAACCCAGGAGAGGAAGAAAAGATGGAAGATCAGAGTCAGGTATCACTGTTGGATTCTACCATCTCTGCATCACCTACCACGCCGCTTTTCCCTCTTACGAATATAATTAAGCACTTAGTATATAGATACATGAGATACAGGCTAATCTTTAGGTCTTCATGTGCCTTGCAGATTTTTTTTTTTAAAGAAGAAATGCAAATCAACTAAATGCTGAGGAAGTGAGCAAAATGGAGAGGCGACCAGACTGTGGACAGGAGATCTGAGTGTGGGTGATGCCAGGCCTCCAGCACGACAGTCTGCTCCTGACAGGAAATGCCTGTGCTTACAAACTGCACTAGTACCTCAGCACTAACAGGTTTCCTGCTCTAATTTATACATGGATTTTCAGTATTTCTAACCAAAGAGTTTGTAGCTTACTTGAAAAAATGAGCTTTGAGAACTTGAAGATTGTCAGAATCTGACGCTTATTAAACTTTTAAATGCAATGCCTCAAACTGTAGCACTTTAAAAAGATCTTTGTTACTCTTGATGCTTTTCCTGCAGATACTGACATTTTACAATTTTTTGTACTTCATGGTTTATCAGAAATATTAAATAATTGTACTGTTTTATAAATCTGCCTAACACCTTAGTTCTCACCTTTATCAGAGTTTTTGATGCCTTTAGTAAACTTTTCACTTTCATGGAGACAGTGTCATATCTGGATTTTTGATCTAACCGGTAAACAAAATTCCACCTTATACCAAATATCAAATAAGAACACAGAGGAAGAAACAAAGAAATCGTCTCCTGAAGACAGATGGCCACACTGTGGCCCAGGCATGGTTGTGAGACATGGGGATTGCTCTGTATAAAATATGCCACGTGGCCGCTGTCACAAGCACAGAGAGACCTGGCTGTTCCCATTCCCCACAGCCCAGCATTGTTTAGAGAAGCACGAATCTCATGCCCCGGGTGACACAGCATTGAGGATCTGTCCCTGAGGCCTTGCAGGGACCCCACTGCTAACATCATGTTCAGCAGGGAAGATAGAAAGCTTCTTGGGGTTTGACATAGGACATGGGTCCCCACCCTCGCCATCTCTGTTCACAGATTCTGCAAGGCCCGCCCATAGCACTCCAACAAGAACTAAAAACACCCAACCTGGAAGCAAGCAAAATTATTTGTTTGCGGGTGACATGACCATGAGCATAAAAAACCCTAAAGGGCCAACAAAAAACACTTACAATAAGCAAATTCAGTAATGTTCCAGGATACAAAGTCAACATATGAAAAATAGTGGTGTTTTTACATACTGAGTATAATTATCCAAAAAGAAAATTAAAACAACCCCATTTAAAACAATTCCATTTATATTAACAACAAAAAAGAATAAAATAGAAGCCAGCCAAAGAGGTGAAAGACTTTAATACTGAAAGTAATAAAACACCAATGAAGGAAATTAGACATAAGATATCTCATGTTCATGGATTGTAAGAATAGTAAAATACTTTCCATATGAATGTGTTCATAATGTATCACAAACATGAATTAATAAAGAATTAATAATAAGATGATCATAGTCTCCAAAGTGATCAGTGCAATCTTAACAAAATCCTAATGGCATTCTACACAGATGTAGAAAAAAAAATCTAAAACGCACATGGATCTTCAGAAGATCCCAAATAGTAAAAGCAGTCTTGAACAAGAATGACAAATCTGGAAGCTTGCCCTCCCAAGCAATGAGGAACTTGTTATTAAAAAATTAGTGGTTTTATTTTTAAAAGTGAAATGAGAGATCACAATTTCTGTCACTCTAAATGTCTGGCTCTGAAGAATGCCTGAGAATTATAGCTAAAACATATTTTAATTCTGAGTTAACCTTTAATTCATTTTTAAGTGAACTAGCAATTGGGAACTTTATAAGGGACACTTTGAAAATCAGGATAGGTAACTTTGCTTTTTTGTGGCTAAAATTTAAGTACTTAGGAAGAAATAGAAGAAAACTTTAGACCAGTGGTGGCAAATCTCCGGCATACATGCTGCAGCAGGCTGTCTGAATCAATGAGAGCTCTAAAAGGTTCGCCATCACTGGTTTAGAGTACTGGGGTCAGATTTACAAATTTGGTCTTTATCTTGCAGACAGAGCTTTTAAGCACTTAGCAATTTACCCCAAGTGTCACTTAGGCAACACACTTGTTTACATACTGACTCTCCTGAACATCAGGAGCTGTCATTTCAGCCAGTTGATTCTTGTATTGAATAAATTTGATAAAACTGTCATTTTTATATTTCCTGTTACCTTATAAAAATTAATGAAAAAATGCAATTCTTGGTCATCCTGTTTTTAAATAACCAGATTGTAAGTCATTAACCAGAAGCAGCAGGGCAAACTGTTTTGAGAGGTACTTTATGGGGGCATACAATGACCATGTTTATTTTTTAGAAGCATTTCTATTGATGAATTAATTTTAATTTTATGAGTTTTAACAGGAAAATAGTAATAAAATATTAAATTTGCAATATGTAATGAGTATTTATTTTATTAAGTTTATTGGTACAATTTAGGTAGGCACAATGATCATATTCATCATGGGGAATCTATACCTGTACATGATTTATTTTGATTCCTTTTTTTCCCATCCCTTTCGCTCCCTTCAACCCCCCCATTCCCTCATTTACAAAGCTTTGTTTTCATTTTATTCTTCTTTTCTCATTTTTTCTTTTCCTTTTTTTCCCCCTCACTAGTTCCTCTTTCCTTTTGAATAATTTTTTGCTATTTCACAATATCTATTATACATTATGGTTCTTATTTATACTTTCAGTTTCTCATACCAGAGAGACAATGTGATATTTACATGTGTCTGATTTATTTCACTTAAGAGTATGGTCTCAAGGTGCACCCATTTACCTAGAAATGTCTCCAGTTTATCCTTTTTTATGGCTGAATAGTTCTGCCACATTTTTTTATCCATTCTTTGGTTGATGGGCACTTGGCTGTTTTCAAGATTTAGCTATTATAAACTGTACTGCTATAAACATGGGTGTATGTATATTGCTGTAGTACAATGGTATTAATTCTTCTGGGAAGATACTGAAGAGGGGAATAGCTGGGTCAAATGGGACCTTTAGTCCTAGTTTTCTGAGGAATCTCCACACTGATTTCCATAGTGGTTGCACCAGTCTATGCTCCCACCAACAGTGGAAAAGGGTTTTTTTTTTTTTCCCCACAGCCCCACCAGCATTTGTTATTGGTTGATTTCTTGATGATAGACATTCTCTCTGGAGTAAGATGGAATCTCAGTGTTTTAATTTGCATCTTTTGAATGGCCAGTGATGTTGAACATTTTTTCATGTACATTTATTTGCTGTTTGTACTTCCTCATCTGAGAAGTGTATATTCATTCTAGATGTCCATTTTTGGAACTCACTGAGAAAGAAATTAAGGAAACAACACCTTTCACAATAGCACTGAAAAAATGAAATACTTAGGAATCAATCTAACAAAGAAAGTAAAAGATCCGTACATTGAAAACTTACAGTACTCTGAAAAGGGAGATTGAAGAGGACAGATATCCCTTGCTCATGAATAAGAAGAACTGCACAGTGAGAATGGCCATACTCCCAAAATTGCTGTATACATTTAATGCAATCCCAATCAAAATACCATTAGCGTATCTCACAGAATTACAGAAAACATTCCTAAAATTCACTTGGAACTAGAAGAGACCCAGAATAGCAAAACAGTTCTGGGCAACAAAGGCAAGGCAGAGGGCATCAGAATCCCTGTCTTGAAATTATATTACAGAGCTACTGTGATAAAGACAGGACGGTACTGGAAAAAAAACTGACCTGAGGCTCAGTGAAACAGATTAGAAGATGCAGAAACAACTCCAAACACACTCAGCCACCTTACTTTTGACAAAGGGGCCAAACATATTCATTGGAAGGAAGCCTCTTAAATAACTGATGCTGGAAAAATTGGCTTTCCACATGCTGAAGATAAAACTAGACCCATGTCTCTCACCATGCTCTAAACTAAAATCAGAATGGATCAAAGATCTAAATATTAAAACAAACACTAAATCCTGCTGCAAGAGAGAACAGATAGAACTCTTGAAGACTTAACAGGCAAAGATTTCATGAACAAAACCCCGATTGCATGGGAAATACTACACAGAATCAACAACTGGGATTTCATCTTATTAAAGACCTTTTGCATACCAAAAGAAACCGCCAATAGAGTAAAAAGCCCACAGAATGGAAAAAAATTTTAGCCAGTTGTTCCTCAGACAAAGGACTTAATATTTAGGACATAAAGAATTGTAGTGAGTATTTAGAATACACATCAACATTTTCACATCAACTGTTCCCTTGCTTATAAAACCCAAAAACAACAGAAATAAATTTCTATGTGAATTACAATGAAAATACAAAAAAAAGTTTACCAGAGAAAGAATCTTTGCTTCAAATGTCATACCCAAGGCAGTCTTCACACATGACAATAGTATGTTCCATACACATGTCTCTCTTACACTGATAGCATGTGTGTTTAAATTTCCTTTCCTGGGTGGCAGCCTATACTTGTCACCTCTTGTCTTCTCATTTGTCAGGAGCTTCTTACTGTATTGTACAATGTGCACTTGGCAAGAAAATAAAAAAATCAATAAAATATCAAATCTGTATTGAGTATTTAGAATACACATCAACATTTTCACATCAACTGTTCATTTGCTTATAAAACCTGAAAAATAACAACAGATATAAATTCTTACGTGAACTACAGGGAAAATACAAAGAAAAGTGTACCACAGAAATAGTCTGTGCTTCAACTGTCATACCCAAGGCAGTCTTCACACACGAGAACTGCATGTTCCATACACAGGTATCCCTTACACTGATAGCACATGTGTTTTGTTTTCCTGTCTTTTTTTTTAGGGCACAGATGACATCTTTTTGGTTTTTCTACTGTCCGAGTAGGTTTTTGTGATGTTGTGCCTGCGTGTTCTCCTGTCAGCTCCAAATCTGTTTTGCGTAGTTCCCTGGGCAGAAACATTTTGTCCCTCTTCTGCTGTAGTTGTTCCCTTATCAGTTCCAGTCCCAATCCTCTAAGAAAATTTCTCCGTGATATTTTGCACTTGTTATTTTCTTTGTAAACTATGAAACTATTTATGCCGGACATGTTTAGGATCGAGTAAAACACAATCATTGGCCAACGCTTCGTGTTTCGAGTGACATCATAGTTGCTGCATAACTCATCAACAATATCTACTCCACCTTTGGTTTTGTTGTAAAAAGTTTCTATTTCTGGCTTCATTTGTGTCAAGGTATCTCTATCAATACTGCCATCATGGTGCAGTGTTGACATCAGCAGTACCACTTTGTTTTTCTTGGCCATATAGGAGGCCAATGTTATGTCTCTCTGAAATCCAAAGATAGTGCTATACAATTCTCTGTTTCGAACTTGCAACATTTCATTGGGAATTTCTGCTTTGTTCTTGCGTATAGTTCCCACACTGGTCAGCTGGTGTTCTCTTAGCAAATGTAACATCAGTGGGTAACTGGTAAACCAACTGTCGAAGGTCACATTCCGATTACTTTGGGAGATAGGAGCAACAAGTCTGTTTACAACATCATGTGGTTTATTACTGCACGAGTAAGGACCTGGTGGCTGAGTTCCAGGATAAATTTCTAAATTGAAAGTATAATACGTCTTTGCATCTACTAGGGTATATATTTTTATACCATATTTTGAAGGCTTATTTGGCAAACACTGCCTAAAGCTGCAGCGACCATGAAATGCTGCAAGCTGTTCATCAATAGTCATATATTCAGATGGTGTGTAAATTGCTTGGCAGTTTGACAGGAAGCTCTCAAAAAATGAGCGGATAGCAGCCAGATTATCAGTTCTTTTTCTTTCTTGGCGGGTAGTTTTGTCATCAAACCTCAGGCAATTCTGAAGGAAACCAAATCTCCTCAGTGTCATTGTTATTCTACAAACCTCAAGCCCACACCCATCACTTCTCCATAAGTCTTTTACATTGCTGCGATTAGCATGCGAAAGCCCTGCTAAGTACAGCAGACCTATGAATGCTTTCAGTTCAGATAGTGAGGTGTCATAATAAACACATTTTTGAGTATGACTATTGGTGCATATAGAACGTTTTAGTTGTATTTCAGTATTTGTATGTTTCACAACATCTTGTAACATATCATCTGTTATAATCAATTTCCAACATTGAATCGCAGTGCTGGCATTCTGTCCAATAGATTTCACCCCTGCCAAGAACCTAGTATTTTCCGACCTAGTTCTAACATTAGATTGCTCAGGTATTCGTGACCATTTTGTTGCATTTTGACTAGTCAAATATGTACTCACACTGCTGTTTGTTTCATTATCTAAATCAAGGAGGTCTTCATTCCCAGTGTCTGTATCAGTCAATTCTTGTTCCATCTCACTGCTGCAGGATCTCTGGCTCAAATGGTCAACGTCAATGTCAATGTCAATGTCATCATTATCAGTGCACAAGTCACCCGATGACTCACTTTCTACCTCCCCCAAAACTTGCAAATCTGGTTTTTCATGTGCCATTGTACTGAATTGGGCTAGTTCTACAAGAAAAATCAGAAGAGAACATTTTAAAAACAACTAAATGCACAGAAATTTAACAAAGCATATTACAAGGGTAAAACTCACCTCTTGACACTTTGGAGCTCCTGTACACACCTTGCTGTTCGTCTGCCAAGTGGGTGAATGCACAGGTAGGTTCCTGTTTTCCCCAGGCACAGCTACTGTGAGCCACACCTGGCTACCATTATACTAAAGTACATATTTGTATTACAAAAGTATGGCATGGGTGTATTTTACCCTTCATGATGCCTCCTTAAGATGCTGGGAGTAGAGGGGACCAGCATGTAACCTGTATCACCCTAAGATGGTTGTGAAGTATGGACAGGATGATAGGAAACACATTAGGAATGAAGCAGGATCCATACCAGAAATTAAAGTTGATGGTTTGAGAAGATCCAATTTATAGCTCCAAAGCAAAAATGGCATGGCAGAAGGTCACAGCAGACAAGGTTTCTGCTTTCATGTCATGGTGGCCAGAAAGCAGAGAAGGGAAGAGCCAGGGATAAGAATACATCTTCCAGGTCATACTTCAGTGATGTTCCTGCTCTGACCTGGCCCCCCCTCTTAATAGCACGTTCAGCCATAACCTTTCCCATGGATTCATCCAGCAGTGAGTACAGCACCCCCATGATCCAATGACCTTCTAAAGCCCCACCTCTGAATACCTGAGACTTTGGGGGAGATTTTAGATCCAGACCAGACATATTAATAGCTTTTGGGAAAAGCTAGGTACATTCTGGTCTGGCCACAGCCCACCTTTGTCTAGCAAATAAAACCCCTTTCTCTCACTGTGGGACAAGGGCTCCTCTAGTCTTACTTCCTCCCAAGATACACATCTGTCTACAAGTCCCTATTAAATTGCACTTTGTGCAATTCCAGAGTTGTCTGTTTTGTTTTTCTCCCAGCCTCTCCCACCTTTCAACAAGGCTCGTTCTCATACATAAGACTGGATTTTTTGAATAAAAAACGTGAAATCTATATATTTATTACTTGGCTTTTAAAAAAGAGATCTTGCCATTTGCCACAACACAGATGTCCTTAGAAGACATGATGCTAAGTGAAATAAGCCAGACACAGAATGAAAAAATATGGCAAAACCTCACTCATGCGGACTATTTTAGCCTACACACATAAACAGATATACAATGAAAGAGAGGTTACCAGGACTCCAGAGGGAGAAGAGGAATTGCGGAAGTCAAATGACACAAAACAGCAGATTTGTAGGAGGAACAAGTTTAGAGAGCTAATGTACAACATGAGGACTAAAGTTAATAAAACTGCACTGGATCAGGAAATTTTGTTAAATAAACAGAGTTCAGCTGCTGTTGTCACAAACAAGTAACTATGTGCTATGATAGAAATGTCAGATTTGCTGGAATCACCAGTTTACTGTCTGTGTGTGTCCTACATCATATTGTACATCTCAAATATATTTATTAAGATTTATGGGAAAAGAGGCAAGAGCCTGAGAGGGGGGCACAGGAATTAAATACCCTCAACTGGAAACAGAGGTGGGGTAGTGGGAGGAGAGGAGAAGCCATTTCTGAGAGGACTCGATGGCCAACTGGATAGCAGGTGGGAGAGGGAAAAGGAGGATGCTTTTGGGATGGGTTCATCACAAAATGTGGTACTAGATGCAAGAAGAGTGGGGAGGAATGCTGAGGGGTGGGAAAAAAGTAGGCTCATATGTTGCTGAGTTTCATTTGAAGTATCTGCAGTGTTCCCAGGCATAGCTGACCAGAAGACAGTTATAGATGCCTGTGTTTGAGAAACATGAATCTACCATGCTGGAAATCAGGGCAGTGTAAACACAAGAGTCCTACAGTCTGCAGGTAGGAATACCGGGAATCACAGTAGCAGACTTGCAGCTCTGGAGTTCATCAGCGAGAATGTTCAAATAAAGGAATCTGCTTACCTTTTGTAGTAATACTCATACAATCGCTGAAGCTCCAAATCCAGACATGTATAATATTAAGAGGGGACCACCCCATTTCCTCCCTCTAGCAGCAGGGACTGCCTAAGGACTATGGCATTATGAAAGCCTTCAGATCAGAACAGGTTCAAATCCAAGCCTAGTCATTATCGGTGAGTGACAATTCGTAATTGGCTTTATCACTTACAACCTTTGTATTTTCACCTTTAGATAAAGATAAAATGAGAGCCTTCAGTGGCTAGTAAGAGTCTACAGCATAGTGGTCAAGAACATGAGCGTTGGAAACAGACTGTCATGGGTTTGAATCCTGCCAGGGCCATTCATTAGCTGAGCAACCTTGGGTAAGTTTCTGAATCTCTCAGGCCTAGTTTCTTATCTGATTTCCACCACATAGCATCAGAGTGAAGATTTTAATTTCCACAGTGCACCTAGAACAATGAGGGACCTGGTGAAGGGCTCAGGGTATGTTGGCTGCTACCACATGCAAAACCATTTAATGTAGGCAATGTCTATAGAAACTGCTTACAAGGATGACCATTATTACCATTGTTGTTATGGCCAGTAAATAGCTTGGGAAGTATAAAACTTTCTATATGGAAATTTTAAGAAAACAAAGGCTTACAATGTATGTGAAAGGACATATTCTGCAGGTCATTTTCCCATGGGTGAATTTACACTGTGACATCCTTGGTGCTCCTTGTACTCTCAAGCATTTGGAAATTGTTGGCTGAGGTTAGAGTAACAGTCCATTCCCAGCCGTTTCCCTCTGTGTGCAAGACCTGTGCCTGAGAAACGGGGAGTGGATGTTTCACCTCATTAGCAAGAGTTCAAATAACCTCTGCCCAGGCTGGAGAATACCATAGACCTAAAACTCGTAATGGAGACTGCACCAACTGCACCGCACTTTCTTCTCTTAAAGGCAGCGTGTATGCGGATGCTCATTTTAAGTGTGTTTTCCTCACCTTGCTGCCAGGAGTCGTGTTTTAGAGTTTCCAGACTTTAACTGAAACTTGTGCCCTGGGAGTGCCATGTTCTGTAACTGAAAGGGGTCCAGGAGAAAAGTGGAGATAGTAGCTGGCACTGCAGCAACTGCTGATGTAAGAATTCCAAGCCATGATAAATGTTTTCTTAATGCTCAAGATGAAAATAGTGTTTGTAAAATTATGCAGTGTTGCTAGGAATTTCGTCTCATATATTTTCTAAGCCATTGTGAGAACCTTTTCAGCAGGCTATGCAAACACATGGCTAAGCTTTCTCAAACTAAGTATATGCCTTAGTTTTGTAAACCATACTATGTTTTTGAACCTCAGGGGCTATAGCAACCACCATGAATTTTGCAGTAGGTGAACTGTTGGTTGAATTTTCTGGGCTTTGCTGAGCAGCCACAGCTTCTGGCTTTCTGCTTCATGAAGTTTACAAACTGCTTAACAAAACAAGAAGGTGGCATGAATTTTCCACTGGTTTCCCACGAAGTCAGAAATCATCAATTTGGTCGAGGAAAATTCCAACTTGCTCAATGACTGTCACCCTGTTAATGCTCTTGGTTGCTAGCAGGTCCTGTCCATGCATCAACGTGCCTGTCAGTAAAGACTGAGTGTTCACTTGGTTCTCCCCCACTGTTGCTTTGTCAGGGGCAAAGAGCTTGCAGTTCTGCTTCCATTGCTCTCAGAGCCTACTCCATGTGTGGTGTCCAGCAATGCTTCTTTGACACTTGTTTTGAAGTCTACAGTTCTCTGTTCATGGGACAAAGGTAAAGGCAGTCATTCCTTGCTCTGATCTCTGTGCCAGCCCTTTCCTTTGCCAAAGTACTTGTTCTCTCTGAACTGCTCCCGTGACCAGAGTCATGCTTCCTAGTACTTCCCTCTTTCTGCAGAGAGAAAAGAAGCACAACCCCAAGAATAAGGTGGAGGTGAAAGTTTGGACTATAGAATCGCTTATGGGGCTCCCAAATGCCTGAAGCTACACTTGGAAAAAAAGACTTGTGGTCCTAGCAAAAGAAGAATGTTTCTATTGTAACTGTCACCTAACTAGGGCTGGCCAGGAGGAGGAGAGGGCATGGCCCTCCTGCTGCAGAAAGCTGTAAAGGGCATGCAGCTCTAAGTGTGAACTGGCTGGAAAGTAATCTGACAGATGAGGACCTTAGCGTCAAGACAGGTAAGTGCCTGCAGAGGTCATAGTGTACAGGTGAGCACCCCGGGACTCCTGAGTTTCCACTACCCTTCTTTCTTTACGTCACACCTTTATACACCATAGAGCACCTCAGATTTGAGAGCTGGTAAGACAGACTGAACGTGTCTCCTGCAAATTTGGATGCTCCAACATGAGCATCTCTGCAGGGGGTCCTTTGAGAGGTGATTAGCTCAGGCTTTCAGGGCAGAGCCTGACAATTGGCACTAGGGCCCTCACACAAGACAGCCTTCAGAAAGAAGCCTCTGTGTGCCAGGAAGCAGGCCCTCCCTAATCCTGTTGGGGCCTTGACTTTGGACTTCCCGGACTGCACAACTGTGTTAGCATGTGTGAGTAATAAGTTTTAACAGTTTATAAGACACCCGATTTATGGCATTTTGCTGTAGCAGCTGAATGGACTAAAACAAGTGGCTACAGTATTTTTTCCCCCGAGGAAATGAAATCACCAAAAAAGACCAGACTCAGGTACCATGTATACTACACACAAATTTTACTTGAAAAACAGGTTGTAATGCCAGAGTAGTTACCTTATGTACGGCCTTTCATCAATGCAACTTGTAAACAACTGTAACTCAAGCGCTGACCTTTGTAATCCACATTTTAACTTCACCTCTCAGCACACTTTTTTCCTCACCCCCGTTCCTGCTGCAGTATTTTCTGTTTGCGCTTAGCATTTGCTGTTCCCTCTGCTTAATTTTTTTTTCTTCATAAATTTACTCGTTCTTCAAGTTACTGGATTTCTGTGTAATCTTCCTTTTTTTCTCCTAGCTTTTGAGCTTGCTACAGTCTATCAGTTGAGGGACTCTAATTAGTTGGAGGTAAAGCTGTCTTTTCAGCCGGTAGCGATCCCCCGAGGCACACAAGGGGCTCAACACCCCGCTCCTCCCACGTGTGTGCAGTTAGAGAGAAAGATGAGATGAAAGCTAAAGAACGGTGAACACAGGATTCACCATGCTAATTAATCCTTCTGGAAGGAGCAGGTGACAAGTTTGGATGGTGGGTCTGTGGCTCCTTTTACATATTTTAAAGCAAGGAAATTGGTAAAAGTTCTGCATCCCCAAGCTACAGTAACTGGAAAGCACTCACGTGAGAAGACTAGCCCTGTTGGTACCAAGTATTCCCTTTGTATGCAAGTCTCTCCTCTGCTTTCTGGTATATTTTTTAAAATAACTCAATGGTTTTTATTACACGTACGGTTTTGCAACCATCACCATCATCTAATAACATATTTTCATCATTCCACAAGGAGGCCCATATTCATTACCTTTCTCCTTCTGCTTTCTAATGTTAGCACCTATCAGTGATTCTCCAGCGGCTGCTTTCTAACCTTTGTTTTCCGCGGCTAAGGCTAACGCGGCTAATTTGGGTCAGCTGTCCCGCTCCCTTCCCGGCTCACCTGCGTAAGGACCCCTGGCTTACCCGCAGTTCGACTCGGTGTCTACGCCCGCGATCTTCCGTCGCGGCAGAAGCGCCCACGTGGTCCGCGGTACGCGCTGACGTTTGAACGCCTCCGCCCGCAGTTTGAGCCAATGGGCGGGCGCGCCTTGAGGCCCCGCCTACCCGCCACGCTGCGCACTGGACGCGCCTGTGGGCGGGGCGTCGGCGTGCAGAAGTTCCTCCGCTGCGGCGCCTTCGCTGTCTTGCGTCCCTGACTTCGGCCGCGCCATGGCCTTCGTCACCAGGCAGTTCGTGCGCTGCGTGTCCTCCGCCGCCGCCTCGGCTTCGGCAAAGAAGATCATCGTCAAGCACGTGACGGTCATCGGCGGCGGGCTGATGGGCGCCGGCATCGCGCAGGTGAGCGGAGGCGGGATCCCCGGTGCTGCCTCGGCCCGCGCTTGGCAGCCGCGCAGCGCGCGAAGTTCTCCGCGCACGGAGTCCAGACGTGGACGGTTTGCTCGCGGCCGGGCGCGGACAGGAATCGGCTGTCCGCGACCTCGGCTGCAGCCCGCGTTTACCTTTTACTCGCTTGAAACAGTTCTTTTATCAGAGCCGTTTCTCTCCTAAACGCCTCCCACGCTCGCCTGTTTTCCCTGGGTTACCCGGGGAACTTCTCCAACCCGGGCCGGCACTTCTCCAACTTTGTAAAATCTCACCCGAGCTCGCGCGGGCCTCGCGCCGCGCCGCGACTGTGCGAGGCGACGGCGACCTTCGGTCCCGTTTGTGGGCGCGGAGCTCGGCGCTGGGAGAGCGGGAGGGATCCGATCTGCGCCGGAGGACTCTGCCCTGTGCCAGCTGGGTTGTAGTTCAGGGTCGGTTGTGCAATTCTATGATCTGTATGCTGTAATGCTTGTAGTCTGTGTCTGTCTCTCTCTGTCTCTCTGTCCCTGCTCCCCCGCCTTCCTTTACAGTCCTGCTCGCATTGGAGGACCTTGATTTTCATTTCCTAGCCGATTATGTATGATTATATTCTTAGTCTTTCGGGTGTTTGCAGTTCGAATTGTCCGGGGTAGGGGAGGTGGTTATGGTCATCTTAATTTTTCCTAGGGAGGATATCCTCGAGTGCGGTGGCTGTGGACATGAAAGAGTGAGTTTTCATTGACTTTTTGCCAAAGTCTACACTTGCATGCTTGGTTGTCTTGTTTTCTAAAATCGTATGAATCTTAAATTTCTGTCCTTGCGTTTCTTTCATTTTCTTTCTTTTTTGGGCGTTTTATTAACTTGTCATGACACTGTAGTTAGACTACGTTTGGTTTTCCGCTAAACTTCTTTAAATTTACCGTCTCACATTTCTTCTGAGATCGTATTTTTGGGCAAACGTTTCCTTTTTATTGCGTGGATCCCCTGGCTGCTGGTGTGTGGTGTCCTCCCTCATAAGTACTGGGCTAAGAGGAGTAACTCCTTTCAACCTAAAAGCTTTGTACATTGTATCCAAGGGAAAGTTTACTTGTGTTGCTCCTGTATCTCTCTGCCGGGCCGAAATGTCCCGAGGCTGTGAGGTTGGGATTTGTGGAAAAGAATAAAACAATATATCTGATTAAGCATAAACATCTTAGTAAGGTGTTAGGGCCTTGTCCCTTCAGTAACCATATAAGGATAAGGTCTGGAAACTGTCCTGGATGGTTTCCCTGAAGAAAGTGAGGGAAAACAACTAGAAACTTAGTAGAAACACACAGAGTGCTTTTGTGTAAACTCAAGCTACTTTGTTCTTGGAGTGCGGTGTCCATCATTGGCCCCAAAAGCCTGTTCTGCTGCGTGAAAAGGTGCAGAGATGGGACCTAAATTATGAATATGGCATTGGAACTTTCACCAGAGAGAAAAAGGAGCAATGGTGGACATGGATGGGGAACATAGATAGACATGGGGGTTAAGTCCTGGAGATATGTAAAACTTCAGGGAAAAAAGAAAGATACATACTTCCTAGATGGGAAGCAACTATCATCGCGAAAGGTAATAAAGGCTAAATGCCTCCATAGGGGACAGTCATAAGGAACAGTAATTCCATCCTTAAAGATGGTTTAGAGAGCCTTGGTCACTAACACTGTGCTGTCTTGGAAAGCAGCTCTGCAGTGTTTTCAGTGGTGCGGAACACTTGGTTTTTCACTCTCCGCTGTACAGGCAGCTCTAGGTGGTCTTGCCTCATATTTCTGCCTCTTCGCCAGCAGGTTTTGGGCACAGGGTAGTAAGTCTCTTGCCCACTGAGCACCACAGACTAATTAACTGATGCGTGTTGGGAAGAACTTGAGCTCAGCGCAGGGAATTGAGTGGTCTGCGTGCTGGCTCTGTCCCACACTGGCTGTGGTAGCAGGAGTCACTTCACCGCTGAATGTCCATTTCCTTGTCTCTGAAGGCCTCTTACTGGCACTGCACTGGTAGAACTGTACAGAGGACTGCATGAATTAGCCCAGTGTCTGGGTCGCTTGCAGGAAGAGCTCACAGAACGTCAGCTGCCTCACCCTCTCTGATGATTATCATCACTGCCTGTACCCTGTGCTGTTGGCCTTTTTGCACTGTCCACTTTGGCTCCTGGGTAAGCCCACGATGCCCACGTAGGGAGTGGTGGTCATAGCCCTGCTCCCATCTCGCTTGATCATGAACACAGCGCCAGCTGGCACTGCATTGTGTTCAGGCTCTGTGAAAAGAAGGAGGGCAGCTTCTCTCTGCTGCTCGCTTCAGTGTCCCACCTTAGGACAGCTCCAAAAGGACAAGCGCCCACTGGACTCCAGCTTGTAACTGATGCTTCACATTTAGCTTCAGTCTCCTGAGCTCTTTTGGAAGTAGTTTCAATTGTAATAAGTGGCAGTTCTGTTTACAATTTCAATTTTTAAAATCTGTCATTTTAAAAATTTGTTCAAGTTAGTGCTGAGCAAGGTAAAAAATGTCCATCATCTTGTAGGTACCAAATGTCTTTCTCCAGCAGTTAAACAGTTTTAGATAAATGAAGCCTATGCTTAATTATATTTGATCAGAGTACAGGCTGTTATTACCATGTGTATTTGCAAAGAGCATCTACTTTGCCTGTCCTTTCTTTTGTTTGTTTTAAATTAAAAAAAATCCCTGAGTCTGCAGGTAAATATTTAAGTGAGTTAATTTGGTCCGTTGATTTGCCTGGTATGTACTTCTTACTTGCTTTTGATTGTCAGCTTATCTTCAGCAGGATAAACAGGCCAGCAGGGGGACTTGTAGCATTAAATGAGCCTTGAATGAGAACAGATTGGTCTTTGCTTTGTAAAGGAGGAAAAAAGGAAGGAAGGAAGCTCCTAGCTCTGCATTTCTTCTGTTGCTGTAACGAGTCCTTCCTAAGCTCCACTTGGTGCATTGCCTTGTTTTCCTTTGAGGAGTCCAGAAAGCTCACAGCTTTCATTAAAGTTCTGTGGAGGAGGCACGGAGTCCAGGGGAGCAGCGTTTCAGAGATTTTCTGATACAGCCTTCTTTTTATCTTTTTCAATTTGTTTTCATGAGTGCATGTTTATAGCTTGTAATGATCACATTCATCCTGGGGAGTGGGTACATCATAGTCATAACTCATCTGTTTCCTGTGCCTTCCCTCTTCCCTTCCCTCTGCCCTTGGTCTCCTTCCCAATGCAAAGGATCTGTCTCTTGCTGTTTGCTGTTACATGCAGCCTTCTTTTTAGCACATTACACTTCCTTGGGGGAAGGCAAAGGTTTGGAACTTGTAAATTAGGGGTGACTTCATCTCACCCTAAGCTATTTTTTCCCCCTGTTATGCCGTTAAGAAAGCCAAAAGTAAGCTATTAAAATAAATTGGGGTTCAGGGAGCATTTTAAGGTCAGTGTGGATTTCCCTCACCTTGTGTGCCTCTGATGTCAAGTGAGCAGCCAGGTGGACCGGGAAGTTTCTTCCTCTTCATGGAATCAGAATCTGGTCACCCAGCATCAGATCGCCCAGCGTCCGATCGCCCAGCGCCTGATCGCCCAGCTGTTCTCGCACCCTCAGGGTGGATGGAAGAATAGCCGGAACTGTTTTGTGCTTACTAGTTTTACTCATTTCTGCTGCACAGTGAGTTATAACCCTGTTGAAGTTTGCTTGAAAAACTACAGAGACCTAGAAGTTTCAGGGTCGAAGGAACCTGGCACAGTTAGCCCGCTCTGTGCCTACTTGCTGTCCAGTATGGAGGGGATGTTTTGATTCCCAGCCATTAGCTTCCTTCTCAGAGGAGGAGATGTGTCTGTCTGTGGTGAAGAGCCTTCCTAATTTCCTGGGCAGTATCCTAATTCCTTGTAGGTCCTGCTGTATCAGCATGTTAGTCCTTGGCCTTGGAGAGGTTTTGGAGAAGCTGTCATCCTCGGTGTGCAGAGGAGGTAGATAGTGCTGGCAACCAAGAGACTGCTGTCACAGAATATATGTGGATATTCCATATAGCCAAAGTGGCACATCACTCGGGTTTGGGTTTTTCTCTGCCACATGCTAGATCCAGCTTTCTCTGTCCCATGTCCCTGGGCTGAGTTTCTAGTTTCCTCACTACCCTTGTCCTTCCTCATCTGTCTTAGTGACACCTGCCTCGCTGCCCGGCTCTGCTGGGACCACAGGAACATAACGCAATGCACTGCTGCCTCTCCTGGATCCCTCCGCCCCACCCAGGCGTTAGCGATGCCATCACATCTGGTGAGGTGTGTTTTACACTAGCAGGTACTGGCTATGAGGAAGTGCCTGCCAGTCTGCACCGCGACCCACCTGTCCTGGCAGTGGGAGCCTTGGGCGAGGCACTTGTCCCCTCTCCCCTCTCTGGGGGTGACAGTCGCCTCACGGCTGTAGGTGGGACAGTTGAAGAAGAGTTGAGGTGCACGTGCTTAGGCAGTGACTGTGCTCAGTGGTGACTCTCAATTACTTGCAGCTGCTTTTACGTACATCTTTCAGATCTAACCCAGTGGTTTATGTAAATTCTCAACTTTGAAGATGAATTGTGGAGAGTTCATCCAATTAGAGACCTTTTTATTTTTTAAATTTTTTTTACTTTTAGAGACCTTTTTAAATGTACGTATGTGGACTGTTGAGGAAGACGGCAATCTTAGTGACTGTTTTTGGTTGGTGCCACGATTTCATCCTTGGAAGGCACCGGAACAGAGTCTGGCATTTCAGCTCCCTACAGACGTGACACTTTGTTCTGCTCACAGCTCTGATGGCTGTCATGTGACCAGTGCATAATCGCCCACTGTAACCACTGACCCTTGATCCCGGGGCAGAGCTGGGGCGGGAACAGGGGTCTGCACTCGTTTTCTGGTGGCCAGAGACCCACAGTTGTGCCGGCCTCTGTCCCAGCTGCCTTGTGCAATCTGCGTAGTACTTGTGGAGAGGACCTCCTAGTGTCACAGATGCCAGCTTGCCCTCCCTCAGCC